CAAAATGATATGAAAGAACTTCTCACCGTGACACTGGCCGGGAAGTCTTGTGTGGACCAGCGCGCGCGGTGCCATGCAGTTGATGATGTGATTCTTCTTTACCTGGGTCGAAAACGACTTCCCGGCCAGTGTCACGGTGAGAAGTTCTTTCATATCATTTTGTGTGTTAAGAGTGTACGAGTGTACATGTTTTTGCTTGGCTGTTTTCTGTGGCAGGTTAATAAATGACACTTATTATTCCTAGCAGTAACAGTCTCTGTGTTTTATTTTTCCCTCTTGTCTGAATATCTTGTGCCGATCGTTCACGAACCCTTTTGATAAAGAATTTCATAATACAATATATATATATATATATATATATATATATATATATATGTATGACTTTTGTATTTATTTATTTAATTTATTTATTTAATTAATTAATTTTTTTAATTTTTTTACAAGCACAAAATAAGTTAGATTTTTAGCTACAAAAGTCTCAGGGAGGTTGGGGCGTGGTGCAGGTGATTGGGTATCAGTTCTGGTCTCCTCTGGCTGCAGTGAATTGGTCAAGTGTGAATGTTTAAGACTTTATTACATGTCATCACCTTCATGGGGTGGCAGGTGGTTCTGTTAGGGTAGCGGGGTGTCCTCTTTGGTTTGCAGCAGGTGAGCTTTCACCTGCAGTTTCTCACTGCTGCTCACAACTGGGCTCACAGTGAACCAGACAGCAGGAACTACTCTGCTCTGATTGGGTCAAACTGAGGTTCTGATTCTCTTTATTGCTTGAAAACAGCATCAGTTTAATTCCTATATCATCATTAGATTGAATGGCTATAACAAGACCACAACAAAACACTTTCTTCCCTCTCCTCATTTTTGCATATCATGGAAATCCATTCTGGCCACAATCAAAATGATGGCAACCCATCGCAGCAACAGAGAACTTTAACCCATGTAGGTGGTTTACTACAGATGCTTGTAATCTTACACAAAACCATCACTACCAGTAATAAATACATAAAACTATAAAATCGCTTTAGTTATAAATAATATTATTATTGTGAAACCGTTTAAGCCAAGATAATAGTGTATATGTGTTGACCTCAGCTGCTGATGAGACTCCACCAGGAAACAGAGGTAGCAGTTCTCACAGAGGTCAGAGGTGATAAACACTTTAGATGCCTGGCTGCTCATCTCCCTGTGAATGCAAGAACAAAGACGACTTGTGAAACACAATAGCTAAACACCTTTTAAAAAGGCAAATAAATTCTAAAAATGCAGTCTGTTTCAACAATAAAGGAGTAAGCTGCTCATATGGCAGTTTTCAGTTTTGTCTTTAATTTAGGTCTCTTTTTCCTTAAATAAGTTATCTGACACACAAAATCAGAAAAAAAAAAACCATTTACTTACCATTCTAACTACGTAGTCTCAGTGGTCTAACACTGAAATCTAATAAAACCAATAATTTAGAAGAAAATTATGACTTTGTATTAAAATATATACCACTAATATCACTAATCCCCAGCCCTGGTCCTCGTGGCCCACTGTCCTGCTCCTTTTAGCTGTTTCCCTACTTCATCACACCTGATTCAAATGACTGAATTATCTACTTAGAATGTCATAAAGTTTAGCAGAAGCCTGTCAAAGACTCATTCATTTCAGTCAGGTGAGTTGAAGCAGGGAAACATCTAAAATATGTGGACAGCAGGCCTTGAGGATCATGGATGGGGACATCTGCTCTAAATGACTCAAGTCTGCATGTCAGTTTTCAACATGGCCCTTTGCTATATATATGGTTTCTCAGTTCACACCATTGGTTGGTTCACTAACTATCTCTCAGATCTGAAACAAAGTGTTCAACATAATGGTACTTCTTCCAGTTATTTAACGGTTAACAATGGTGTACCACATGGCTCAGTCTTAGGACACACCCTCTTCACTATCTACAAAGGTAATGTAGGTCAGATCATCCCTGATGCATCCTTACATTTCTATGCTGATGATACAGTAGTTTATTGTCGAGCTAAAACAGTTGCTAAGGTTTTCCAGCTTTTGCAATCCGCTTTTGACATCATCTAGTCAGATTTGTTCCCTCTCAAACTTGTCCTAGACGCTGACAAAACCGAATGGATGTTATTTTCAAACAGGAAGTTGGTCCCAGCAGTTCTTCCTTCAATTTTATCTTCGAATGTTGCTCCTATTGAGTTTGTCGATTCCTACAAATATTTGGGTATTTTGGTCGAGTTGCATCTCTCTTTTAAGCTCCACATGGAAAACTTGGTAAGTAAACTGAAAGTTAAATTGGGTTTCTTTTTCAGAAATAGATCCTGTCTAACTCTGAATGCTAGAAAACGCCTTGTATCTGTGACTTTCCTTCCCTCCATTGATTATGGTGACATTATTTACATGAACGCTCCTACAAGCATCCTGCAGATGTTGGATGCTGTCTATCATGGTGCACTAAGATTCATAACTTGCTGTAACTATCGTACCCACCACTGCACCCTGTATTCACTGGTTAACTGGTCATCATTAACTTCACACAGACTCTCCCACTGGTACATTTTCATCTTTAAATCACTTCTTGGTCTGTTGCCTTCATACATCTCCTCCAACATGTCACTTCGTGAGTGCAGCTATAGCGTGCGCTCTCAGGACATTATTACATGCAGTGTCCCCTCAGTGCAGACTGAACTAGGCAAAAGGGCCTTCTCCTACTCCGCAACCATTACCTGGAATATCTTGCAAAAAGACTGAAGTTTTTGACCATGACCTCTTTAAGTGGCTTCAAACATCTGCTAAGTTCCTGGCAAAACCCAATGCAGACATGTTCCTGTTTTTAGTATTCTACATCACTTTACAACCTAGCTGTTTTGTTTCATTTTTTAATACCATTTTCTTTCATTTGTTTTTCTCAATTTGTATGCTTTCTTTTACGATGGTCTACTGTTGCCTTCACCCTTTGTTAAAATCAAGTCTCTCTTGTAAATGAGTGGCCGAGGCGCAGTGAGACTAACCTGTATAAATAAAGGTTGAATGTATGAATATATGCAATATGTTTTTGCTTATTACTTATGACAGCCAGCCGTGACAGTCTCCCTCCACAGCTGCTCCACACAGAGGTCAGGTACAATGGGCTCCATTTCTGGCGAAGGCATCGTCTCATTGATAGTGCTGTTGGTTAAGGGTAACGAACCATGGTGCCCCTTGGGGGACAGGCTGTGGAAAGACGCGTTGAAGCGAGATGCACCTGAAAAGGATGGCGCTGCCATGCCTGGAGAATGAGCACGGCTGGGATAGAAGAAAAAGGAACAGATGAAATGCAGTTTTTGATTACCACGAATCATATAGAGTCAACCAACTTTTTCCTTTCCTTTGCCTATCACCTGTTCTGAACTTTAGTTTTACAAGCTGAAAAGAGAAGTTAGCTCACCTGAGGGCAGCCATGCTGGATATACTCGGGGAATGAACTCGAGAGTGAACTCCTGGTGAGGAGGTCATAATCCTGTTATGTTGACTTCGCAAAGCACTGTAGTGCAGAGGAGAGCCAGGAGGACAGCTAAAGAAAGAACACAAAACAAAGGACAACAGCGGGGTCTGAAAAGCTTTACAAGTCGCAAACACAAAAAATGTTTGTCCACAAACATTCAAATTAGTTTTGGAGTTTGATTCATAAATTATGGCAGGAACACATTTTAACATTTTTTTCTTTAAAACATAATTCTAGTAATCTAAAAAAAAACTTAAGTCTGGTCCTCTGTACATTCAAAAAACAAAACCATAGAAACGTTTCGTCTTTCATCTGAAAGACTTCTTCAGTCTGAGGTGCTGTATTCAGCCCAGTCTTATAAATAGCAACTTCTCATAGTGGATCAACCAGTTTGCTGCTGACAACCAAAACCAGCTGCTCACATGATCAAGGAGGACCATCAGTCTAACGATGGATTGTTAGCACTGATGGGCTGGTTTTGTCTGTCAGCAGCAAACAGGTTGATCCACTATGAAAAGTTGCTATTTATAAGACTGAGCTGAATACAGCACCTCAGACTGAAGAAGTCTTTCGGATGAAAGACGAAACATTTTTTTTCTTTTAAAAGTTTGTTTTGTTTTTTTGAATGTCCAGAGGACCAGACATAACTTTTTTAGATTTTTCTACCTGGATTATTGAGCATGCACCAGGATATAATTCTAGTAACCGTACAATCAATATTATCACTATGATCTCTGTACCTTGATCCAGATCCAAAGCCGATCACAGTTGTTCCACTTCCAACAGGTGAGTCCAGATGGGAAATATTACGCAAATGAGAGGTTGGAAAGCTGGAAGACATAAGGCCCAGCGGTGTCCCAACTGGATCTGTTAGATTCTGCAAGACTGTGGAACGCTCCTAAGAGAAAGGGTTCAAGGTTAGAGAAGACGAGGATATATTTTTTTGGGGGGGGGTTGTTTATAAGTTCACTTACATCTTGTGTGACTTTGCGTAGGGCCCACACAGTGTGTGCTCCTTGTACAGTGTCATATGATACAACTATAGAAGGCTGGCAGCAGGTGAACACTATTTTCATGGTGGAGTCAGACATGTACTGTACATGGGAGCCTTCAAACAAGCCTACCACATTATTAAGAAAAAGTACAAATATGACCATCCAAGAAAGGAATAAAGAGACAGTCAGTAAACTTATGAAAGATTGTGTATGCCCTACCTGAAGGCTTGAACACAACTGGTGCAATCTCATCTAAAGGATGCAGCATACTAAATACTGTAGGCATAGGTTCCCTGTAAGGAAAAACACCATAAATCTTCATAAATATGTAATACACAATGGAGTGTGTTTATGTGCACACACATTTGAGCTTGTGGTGTGTCACTAGTCAGTGCATGTATGAAAAAATCTAAACATATTTTGCTCTTGGACTTGAGCTTGTTACCCAGGTAGGTTGAGTTGTGTGTCATTTGCTGAATTTTTCCGTTCCAACAAAAGTCCAAACTTTGTCACCCAGACATTCGAGACCTAAAAAAAACAAACAAACAAAAAAATTAGTCAAGTAAAAAATAATTTAAAAATTTTAATTAAAAAACACAATACATTATGCTACATAAAAATGGATGAATATGCTTTACAAACAGATTCAGATACAGTGACAGGTCATGTCCTGTGAACATAAAATTAAATCAGACAGTGTGTCTATTTTTCTCACCTGGAAAGGTAGTGGTGAGATAAAATCTTTTCCAGTCACAGTGTGCACGTTGATACAGCTACTCTGGACAATACAGACTGTCTGCTCAACGTCCTCCTCTGCAAAAACAATTTAAATGTATGTAGTGGATTTTACAGAAGTTCAAAACAGAAAAAAATATATATAATAAACATTCAACATGTCTTACTCAACAACAATATTATTATTATTATTAATTATCATTATAATAAAAAATCATTATTGAAAATTACTAATGCTTTGATAACTGTACCATCATTGTTGTTTCGAGGAATAACAAAGTTACACCACAAAGCCTGTAGAGTAAAAGACAATGTCAATTACAAACAGATAAATATATTTTAAAAAATACTTTAAAAAAATAGACATTTCATTGTGCTTACAAAAAAAAAAAAACACTGGATGAAACAAAAGTAAACTTAGTCCAAATGAAAACAATAACAATCTTTAAACTTCTGCATCTATCTTACCTAAGAAGGCAATGCAATTTACATTTTCTACCATCTAAACACTTCATTTACTCTTTTGTTGAATTGAAAATGAGTATTTTCTAAATGGAAACTAGACTGGCTTTGATTTGCCTTAGAAAAGAAAGCTTCCATAATAGTAACTAAGATGCAACTAATAACCAACCTGCTGCACTGGGCTGTCAACGGTGAAAGCCTTGTACACAGTAGATGCTTGTGTGCGGCTGCCTTGGCTCCAAACAACCATATTTCCTGAAGTATAAAGTTCTTCAAACTCAACCTCGTCCTCTTTCACTCCCATGCAGCCCTTTCTAAGCTGCCAGCATTCCTGCCATTTAAAAGTAATCTATTAGGCCGGACCAAGGAATTACTAAACAAAAAATAATAATAATTATACATGTAAATACAACTTTACATATCAAAATCAGCATACAAAGTCATCTCACCCTTTCTCTCTCCTGCAGACTGACTTCCTGCAGGGATCCTACGAGGCCAGCGGCACCATCTGATGACCAGAGCTCAGAAGCTGGTTGGAGCTCTCGAAGCTGCAGGTTGAAAGCATTTGGATGGTTCCGGCAGTGCTCGCGGCCAAATGGGACAAACGACTGCAATTCCCCTGCGGCAATCATTGTAGCTGTTTCTTCATACACGACTTCCGACATGAGTTCTAGATTTCAGCATTATTTCTGTTATGAGTGACAAATATAAATATCAGAACAAAGAGAAATTGGCAAATATATTTTTAATTTACTACTTGTATGTGATTTAAATAATCTAGAGCCGCTGTTATCAAGCAAAACATGACTTAAGTATTTTTAATCCATTAATGACTACATTTAAATTATTAAACTTGTAAAATTGCATGGCATGCTTTACAATACTGTTTTTATTATTCATAAGAAAACATTTACTTTAGATGTAGTGAGCCAAAATAATTATTAAAAACATGAGTAGAATAGTGATTTACTACAGTTACAAGTTTGTGAGTAAGGATCACAATTAACACTGATGACATTTTCCATGATTGTATTGAGATTCTTGAAATGTGTCAACGATACATTTACCCATCAATAACACATTTTCATTCACATCAATAATTAAAAAAAATAGCATGACTAAATTTACACGGCACAAATGTGTGCAACTTTTATTACTGACAAAATCAGGCAAACTGTGCAACACTGCAAAGCCAAGCTCATGATCTGCGAGTGGATCAATGCGTTTTTAGCTTTTTCCGCAGGGCTAGAATCAAACGACGATTTCTAAAGTTACAAATACGTTATACTGACAAGTAAGCCGGGAGATTTTAAGCTCAAAATAGTTCAGAGTTTTAATCGGAAAGTAACGAAAATTAGCATGCTAAAGCTAAACCCGTAGACAGCAACCCCAGACTCGATTAGCATATTAGCTGTTAGCTTCGAGTTTGCAGGGAGATTTTTATCCGCCAACCTGATAATAAGGAATAGTCTGGCTCTTGTGGCGTAGTCCTCGTCTTTCCCTTTTGAAAGGCTTGCTCGAGCACAACGTCGTTACCCGTGTTACCATAAAAACAAGTATTTTAGATTGGCAAAATGTGAATTTGCCTAAAACAACAGGTTTTCAAATGACCGCGGACATCTTTGCTGTCCCGACAGCCTCTTCCTCTCTGTCTCAGCCAATCAGAAACGAGGAATGCGTCAGCTGGGAGCTGATTGGCTCCTGAAGGATGTAATGTAACTCATGGCGTTATCGTCACTGCATAGTTAAAACACATTTACTTTTTATTTGGTAGAGTGTGAGTACTTAATAATGTCTAAGTTTGTGTCTCTACAAGTATTTTTTTTTTAATATTATTATTTTTTTATTATTATTTATACAAAACAAATACAAAAAAAGAGTCTGCAATGGCACACATAGCTTAAGACTTAAGGCAGGCGTAACAAAAAAGAAAAATATAGATAAATAATAACATGAGATTATTTCAAAAAGTTCAATCTGGTCCTCTGGACATTAAAAAAAAAAAAAAAAGCAAAAAAATAAATGTAGAAACGTTTCGTCTCTCATCCAAAAGACTTCCTCAGTCTGAGGTGCTGTATTCAGCTCAGTCTCTTAAAGTCTTTCGGATGAAAGACGAAACGTTTCTACTTTTTTTCTTTTTTTTTTTTTTTCTTTGTTTTGTTTTTTTGAATGTCCACAGGACCATATTGAACTTTTTGAGATTTTTCTACCTGGATTATTGAACATGCATCAGAACATGAGATTATGTCTCTACAAGTAAGCCTATTCCTGTTTGGCTTGTCTGACGTCACCAGGGTGCATGTCAGGGGTTTGTCTGGGATTTGTTTTTGTTTTTCTCTGTACAGAAGTCATGCCTTATAAGTCCTGTTGAGGTGCTGCATTTTCTTTCTGTGTGCAGCAGCATTGATTTGCTGATTGTTAGTTTTTTTTTTTGTTTGTTTTGTTTTTTTGTATCAGCAGGGAGTAAGATTGCAGAAAAACCAGTAAATATTTTATAATGTAAAATATAATATCGTTAAACAGGGATGGAGGATTCTGTGTTCAACTGCTACACTCTTACAATGCTGACATTGCAAGTATCACTCAGCCCTCTGTGAACAGCGGCACTAATGATCGGTCGTTAGGCTGGTAGTCCTCCTAGTGTTGGCAGTCACCAGCAAACTGGTTGATCCACATGAGAAGGCCTGTTGCAGCTCTTCAGACTAAAGAAGTATTTTGGATAAAATATGAAACATTTAAACAAAGAAGATTTGGTCCAGAGGACCTCACTCAGCCTTGTTAGATTTTATAATATAATAATAGACTATGTGCAGGGGCTTTCCTCTGAAGCACACTGATGCATGCTCTATCCAACGCCTTCTTGACTGCATGGTTGACATCAGGGATTGGACGGCTTTCTATGTCTTAAATTTTAATGAGAAGAAGACAGAAGTCATGTTTCCACCTAATGGCACAATCAGGAACCACTGTTTTGACCTTTTCTTTCTAGCTCTGTTTCAGAAACAGGTTGTCACTAATATGGGAGTGAAATGACCATTCCATGAAGCTAAGCTAAACAGTCATGTAAAGACAATTGTGAAATCCTGTTTTTGTTGTTTGTTTTGTTTTGGGGTTATTGTTTTTCTTTTTTTTCATTTGAGGCGACTGTCTAAATCGAAGCCCATACTGTCCAAAAGTAACCTTGAGACAGTAATACATGCGTTCATAACATCCAGGCTTGATTACTGCAATGCACTTTTTTTTTGAATCCGTCAGAACTCTATTGCATAATTACAACTGGTTCAAAATGCTGTAGCCCGATTTTAAACTCCTACAGGCAAAAGAGCACTCTCCGGTTTTGGCTTCCCCTCCACCGGCTCCCGGTTCACTTCTGAATTCATTAAAAAATCCTTTTGTATGTTTTTAAATCTCTTAATAGTTCTGTCCCCTCATATCTCGCTGATCTGCTGCAGCCATATGTCCCACAGCGCTCTCTGAGGTCAGCAGACCAGATGCTTTTATTGGTTCCTTGCACACGTTTCAAGCTCAGCGGTGACAAGGCCTTTTTTGTTGCAGGTCCAAAACTGTGGAATGAGTTACCACTGCATGTCAGGCAAGCTCCCTCTCTCACTGTTTTTCAGTCGCGTTTGAAAACTCACTTTTATTCCCTGGCTTTTGATCTAATGTGAATTTATTTTTACTTCACTGTGTTTTTATTATTTTAGTCAATTAGTTCATTTTCTTTATCTCTGTGGATTTTATCCTGTGTCCTCTTCTATTTGTTTTGCTGTACAGCACTTTGGTTGGTCTTGCTGCTGTTTTTAAGTGATAAATAGTGGTATGGTACGCTTTTAAAATTTTGCTAAACTTTGTCAATGCTTGAATAGGGCTATTTAGGGTTAATTAAGGATAACAAAGCAAATTCAATTTAATCCCAAAGACAAAATCTTGAAAATAAACTTGTATACAACTAATGCCTATATAAAAAAAAATCTATAACATAAAAAGCAGAAATGAATTGACTACAAAAACTCAGACTCAGATTTGAATGATTTGAGTAGAAAGGAGAGCTACCATATTGCAATTTAGTTGTATTTTGACCGAAGCATATTTCATCACGTTAATAAAAGCATGAACTAACAGATGAGGTCAGGCAGGAATCCATGTGGACTATGATTTTTGCAGATGACGTGGAGAAAAATTTCAGGGGTGATTTGCAACAAAAGGGTGTCAGCAAAGGTCAAATGAAAAGTTTACAGGACAGTTGTGATGTTGTATGGTCTGAAGACAGCAGCATTGACAAAAAGGTCAAGGTTCTTTGTTGTCATTCACATCACATGTGGTGCATAAGGTGGAACGAAATTGTGTACACAGGGTCCCAGTTACATCCAAAAATAGCAAAAATATAAAGTGTAATAAGAAACAGTAAATAAGAATCTAAGATAGAAACTAAGATACGCTAAATGAACACCAAACATATGCTAAAAGATCTAAGCTATAAAAGACAGGAGAAAGAACAGGAAGTAGCAGAAATGAAGGTGTTGAGGTTCTCCTTAGAAGTGATAAGGATGGATAAGATTAGGAATGAGATCGTCATATGGCACTGGTTGAACAACTGGGAGATAAAGTTAGAGAGACCAGGAGGAGCAGATGATGGGGGTTAAGGGCCTTGCTCAAGGGCCCAGAGTGGGGGAAATGAGGGTGGAGGCAGGTGTGGATGCTTCACCTTTCCCACCCACATTTTGATGTTGTCGGTACCGAGAGTTGAACTGGTGATGATCTTCTGATCACAGGCCCACCTTCTCTGATCTCTGTGCCACTACGCTCTAATATGTTATTCAGTACATAAAAATTGGATCATTTTTAATTTCAGAAAAAGAAATCGGCTTGGCATTTTTCTTTTTTCTGCAGGTTGTGCATTGTTTCTTGTGACCCTGATTGTATTTAACATAACACAATTTTTATTTAAAACTATTTTATTTAACTAAACAATTTTCAAAAAGGCTAAATATATATATATTTTTATATCTTCTTATGAATAATTTCATATATGTGAGGAGTAATACTTAATTTTTCTTAAAGTATTAGTCCCTGTGATGGGCTTGCTGCCTGTCCAGAACATATTCCACCTCTAACACAGTGAAAGACTTCAGCTCCCTGAGACTTTTTTCATTCGTTCAAGCTTTGTTTATACACGTTAGTCTCGTTGAGTCACGAGGACTCATTTACAAGACAGACCTGTTTGACTTGGAAGAAACTTGGAAAAGAAAATGGATGAATGGATTTAGGCGTTAACTTTTTAATTCCGTTCATCTAGTCAGTTAAAATTAATTCAAGACGTGCAGTTTTGTTCATACAGATTTCATGTCCATTGGAAGCATGAGTCACTATGTTATACCTTTTTTATTTAATGTCATAGGTGAGAAGTTTTTTTCTTTTATTTGCTTATGTGTTATGTTAAATACAACAAGGGTCACAAGAAACAATGAACAACCTGCAGAAAAATAGCAATGCCGAGCCAATTTCTTTTTCTGAAATAAAAAATGATTAAATTTTTATGTATTGAATAACATATATTAAAGTTAAACCCAAAAGTTTTCTTTATAAAAATTACGTAGTGCAAGACATGTAAACACAAAGACTGAATGTTTCAATTAATTTACTTACCATTTACACTTGACAACAG